GCCCTTTGGACTGACTGTTGTCTTCCTTGTGGCCCTGGATCAGACCCGGATTCCCATCTAACCTCGAACAATTTGTTCAGCCTTGACTCCGAACAATTTGACTACAACGACAACATATTCTACAGCCATCATTTGTTAGGTATTCAGGAATCCCGATGTTAAACGTGTCATAAATAATTCTGCTCACAAATGCATACAGCCTCAGTGCGAGTTAGGAGGGGGGAAAATGTCGTCTGATCAAGGGGAAAAAAGGCAGTCACACTCACACATCGGGCGGAGCTGCAAGCCCGTGTGCTTGTATACTACTTGGACGCATTTAGAAAGCTTGTGAATATTTAGTTCAGAATGTGACGAGTGGGTGTTGTCGTCGCCACGGGAGTTATCGCGTGCCAACTCCGTTTACGAGTGTCTACATGTCCGTATGTGTCGTTTAATATGTGTGTGCGGTGTGTAGGGTGCATAATGTCGTCGAGCCCGTCGACAAGCAGGGGCATGCGTCCCGAGACGCACATGCGTTTAGCTGAACCGTTTCCTCCTTATGTGAAATCGGTGCGGCATTGCGACGATCATGTTTCGATCGACGGAACAACCACAGAGGACTTCCAAGAGGACCCGTGGATGACTGCCGGCCCGTTCTTGAACCGGCATCTCGACGATTGGTGCGAGGGTAATTCGGAGACGATGGAGAGTGCCTGCCCTTGGGCAAGCCATTACAAGTTTGCCAACATGCTAGAGTCCGGGAACCTCATTGCGCTGCCTGATGGTGTCCTTGAGCACAAGTTCCTAAATCGTTTGATATGTGTGCGTGGTGTGTAGGGTGCGTAATGGAGTCGATCTTCTCGACACCACCGATCATGGAGTCGATCTTCTCGACACCACGGACCACGAGTCCCGAGACGCACATGCGCTTAGCATAACCATTTTCTCCTTGTGCGAAATCCGTGAGGCATTTCAACGGTACAACTTCGATCCAAGGAGCGACCAAAGAGGACTTCGAAGAGGACTCAACGATGACCGTCATCCCGTGCATAAAGGGGCATCTTGACGGTTGGTGTGATGGCAATTGGGCCTCGATGGAGAGTCGTTGCCCTTGGACAAGCCATTTCAAGTTCGCCAACATGTTAGAGTTTGGGGACCTCATCACATTGCCTGACGCTGTCCTCGGACACAAGTTCCTGAACCGTATGCGCAGAACACTAAGTTGCATTAGCCACTATTTCAGTCGCCTCGACTGCCACTACATCAAGTCTTCGCCAAGAACTTGGGGAAGGTCGCGGGAACAAAAGTTGGTGGACTGCGCTAAGCATTGTTCATTCTTGAAGCAGTACCGACTCCTTTGCCCCGGTATTTCTCCACAGGCTGTGTCGTACTGTTGTGTGCGGTTGACTATGTACGGGTCTGATTTCGCCAGAGTGATGTGTGTCGCCACTTCCGTCAAAAGTAGGAAACTCGTCGATGCAGTTGTGCCCGTGTCACGCAACGAGGTGGTAATTGAGGGGTCCAAGTCCGTGCCTATGCGTGGGCGTCCTGATGTGGATGGGTGGCTAGATTTGGTAATAGCGGGCCAGGTCGCAGACTTTGTGTTGTGGCGTGAGGTGGACGAAAAAGTGTCCGACATACGAGACAGTATAGGGAACTCCTTGGCACGCCCGGGAGTGTTGGTCAGGATGAATTATATGTCCGTCTTTTCGGAGAGCGCTACAGTCGAGGAACCATAGATCCACGTATACGGATCGTCAATGAGTGCTATGTATGGCTTCGGTCCACAGACTCGTCCCCGGGGAACCCCTGATGGCACTGGATCCGGACGGGTGGTCAGACTCCGTGTTTGAGGGTGAGGGAGCAAGAGGTGTGAGAGGCATGTGTGTAGCCGAAATTGGTAAAAAGGAAGTAGTGGGGAGGTAGCCGTTGCAAGTGGACGCTACACCGCGCACTTTAGGTGCCAATTCCGACCAATTCCCTGACACCCGCTTCCATCTAGCCTCTGAAGACGGAACGGCTTTCTAGCTGCCTGCCCTCGTGAAGTGATGATCCCGGCGGACTTAAGGATTCCACCTTTCATGCAGCATCTCTCTGGTCCGCCCTGGTCCGAGAAACGCTTCAGGACTTAACATGTTGCGAAACGGCGGAGCGGAACAATTACGGGTGCTGGCGGACTGGGCATTGTCGTCTTGCCTCCAACGTCACCGTGGTTTTCGTGCTGCGCCGTGGATTTCACATGGCACGGAAGTGCAGATCCTGTCTCTCTATCTTTATCTCCCTGTTGCGTAGTTCGGATGCCGGCGAACTTCGTCGTTCCACTTCCCCTCTGATCTGACTGCGGTCTACCTTGTGCCCCTTAAGTGCGGATCCGGTTTTTCTCTATGTCTCTCTCTCAAGAAGCCTCCTTAAGTTCGGATCCCGGCGGACTTCGTGTTTTCTTCTGCCCGTTCAGCTGGCACTGGTCTTCCTGATCACCCGTCGGTTGCAAGAACAGCCCTATTTCGCCCGAATCCAGACTTCTCAGTTTGCCCGAATATGTGCACAGAACATGCTGGCCAGGCTCCTGCTTTCACCGTCATGGATCCTCGTCGAGTTTAACATCCAACGAATTGTGGATCTTGTGTCTTTTTCACCGTCTCTCTCTAATGCACCATCCTTAAGTTCAGATCCCGGCGTCCTTAGGTTGTGCGTTGGTCTGTCTGTGGTCTTTCTGGTGCCCCGTCGGCCGCGTGAATAGCCCTCCATCCTCTGCGCACTGCGAGTTTTCCCTGGCTTCTCTCTCTGTCTCTGCCTCTCGCTCTCGTACCCTCTTGAAGTTCGGACCCTCGCGAACTTCACGTTCCCGCGATTCCAAATTGGAGTGATGGAGGGTCTGTGTGTGAGGGTTTCGCTGCGGTAGAGCCTGCGTTGATGTGTGGTTTCATCGGACTGCGTTGTGGTGTGGTTTCATCCGCATCGTGAACAGCCCTCACGCAACGCAGAAATGGAAAACCCCTGCCGCAGCTGTGGCAATTCGACCGGGAACGAGGACCGCCAATGACTGAAGGTTTCTGTCGAAGTCCGCCGACATCCGAACTTCACGAATTGTTCGCATGACGTGTGTCGCCTTTCCAAAGATTGTTCGCGTTGCTAGGCGGGGGTTGTTAACGGGCTTCCTTTACAAAGTTCGCCGTAGTTCGAACTTCTTGGTTCGGTAACGACGTGATGTGGCCAACGTGCGCATTGATGTGTTTCCCGACTTTGTTTGCGATGCTTCGTTGCCGCCTGCGTTGTGGTTTGACCATGTCTTCACTGTTTCTGGTCTTGTTTTCCCGAGCCTGACAGCGTGGTGGTTTGCTTCATTTCCCTTGTTGTCCGCAAACACGATGTCTTCATTTAGGGGCGAGGGGGAGCCTGCCGGGACCTCCGGGATGGGATCGGAAAAAGATTCCACAAAACGGTTGTCTACGGCTTCGAAATCGTGGTCAGACCACTCAAGGTCGAAATGGTTCGTCGACTGGTGCTGTGGGGATGCTTCCAACCCCGTTAAACAGCCGTGTGGTCCTGTCATCTTCTTCGACGCCAACAAGCAGCGTAGACTTCTGGGGGCCGTCTTGCAATAGGAGGACGCGAAAGGCAGTCGTCAACGGTTCTGTATGAAAAATGTTTACAGTGTGAAGGGCAACGTCGTCGGCAATTCGAAGGGGGCGCTGCTGGATATTGATTTGTTCGAGGGGTTCGGAGCGGGTGTTGTGAACACCCCATTCTACAATGACCTCCTGCAGCAGGGGGGATTTGTTTTGGGTCGAGAGTTTTTTAACTTGTTGGAGGAGAAGGACGTCGGCCTCGACGTTCCCTGCAACGTCGGTCGCGCCCTGGAGCTGTCAATGCCCTTGCAGTTGTGCGGCGGTTGTGAATCTAGTGGGGCTGCGCCGAAGGGGGTGATCTGGGTTCCGGTGCGGCTACACAGCTGCAGAGGCAGGAGAGCCGCAGTCAATTCGACGACAGCGAAGATGAGGCAACACCGTTACCGACTTCTTCGCCGTTGAGCCGAAGAGTCCAGTCCGTGCTGTCTATACCTGGGGTCCGACAAACAGCACCGGGTCGAGAGGAGGTTGCAGCGGATCCCGGAAAGGCTGCAGTCTGGTGTGACCTCGACTTGGAGACTGCCGAGGGCCATGGCACGGAGGATGAGACCGTGGGCGGAGAGGGAACGCAGGGCACTCCACAAAAAAGAAGGGGAGATTGTGACGACGACTTGGTCGGCTCATCGAAGAAACAGAAGACCAAGGCCCCGAAGAGTGTGGGGGAGAAACGGAAGGGAACGGGGGGGAACAAGTACAAACGACCAGCTTCGAAACAGAAGCAGCCTGCGTCGGGACCTTCCTCGCCACGACCTGCCATCGATGTGAACGTCGGGTACTTCCTGGAGTAAAAGACGGCGTCAGGACAAGGCGGGAGTTTGAGATTAGCCCGGCTCAGGTCGTCGACCTCGAGTAGTGGGAGGATCTGTTTAACCAGCGGTCCCTGAATCCCGTCCTGGTCCAAGGGATCAAAGAAGCGATGCGGTTGGCTTTTGAAAACAAAGAACAATCGTATAAGTTGCCAACCCTGAAGCTCGCACCGCTGGGGCTGCAAAAACCAACTCCCAAGAACAAGGCAGAGCGTATGAAGCCGGAGGAATGGAAGGACGAGCTGGCGGGAGAATACTACTGCTATGCAGTGTGTGGGCAGCATAACGCGGCCGCAGCACGATCGCTGCTCGGCAGCGACGTGGCCAAGAAGTACAATTTCGAACGGTGGCCGGCACGAATGGTGTACTTTTCGGACAATGACTTCGAAGGATATTTTCTTGTTAGTGCCCAGGACAACAAGAAGGACCTCAAGGCGCCTCCCAGACATTGAAACTGTCTATGAAAGACATTCAGGGGCAGTGGAAGCATGACGGTTTCCCTAGAGCTATCTTTGGGAACCCTAGCGGGAAACACGATGAAGTCCAGAAATGGCGTGAATTTTGTACAATGGCGCTCCATAAGGCGCCGCACAATAACTTGTGGATTCTGGCGGATCAAAAGGGAGAGGACGCCAATATGAAGCAAAATGTTGCTCTGCGTTTTTATTTCCCTCTCGCGATGGCCAGAGAAAATATCCGAAAACTGGCCATGGAATTTTTTGAAAATTGGAAGACGGGTAGATTGTTGAGCCATGACGGAGCGAAGTGGATCGTCAAGAAGAAGAAGGTCAAAAACGTCAAGCCTGGGGTGGCCTACATCGACAACGACAAGTTGGGCAAAAAGGAGGTGGTATACAACGTCCCCGTGGAGCCGCCGACTAGGAAAGGCAAAAAGAAGAAAGAGGAGGGTGATTGGTTCGTGCAAGTGCCGGACCCGGACGCGCATTGTTGGAAAGCGATGGAATCACTCATCGACAATGAGAAGTGTCGCGTTCTGAAGAAGGTGCCTGCTTGCGAGGTCCTTTGGGTCCAGGCCGGCTCCCTGTCGTTGGCGAAGCTGGAAAAGCTCAGCGTGCAGGACATGGTGCAGTTGGTGAAGTGCAACCGGGTGCTGGTCCAGTTGTGGAATTACTACCAATTCAAGCACGAGAAGAGGTCGGGCGCGGATTGGATCCAAAAGCACCCTTTCCTGAAATCGAGGTCTGTCGTGTTCAAGAAGTTCGAAAGTTGGGGATTGGATGACGATTTGTGGGACGGTAGCAGGAAATACGTTTCAGACTCGACGTTGTTCAAGGACCGCCCGCCATATATGGGTTGCGAGGAGGACCACTCGATCGAGGCGACTGAAAAGTTGGTGGGCCACAAGAAGTTGACCGTCGACTGGAGAAACAAGGTTCTCTCCGTGTTGACTGGGAGTAGTTTGAAGAGTCAGGAGATCGCACTTGCCGAAGGCATTGTTCTCATCAAATGGAAAGACATGGGGGACGTGACATCCATCGCGCCGTTCGGCAACGACCCTTTGGAGACGGACATCATGAGTGCAGAGGTGAAGGAAGCAGTGGCTGCCACAAAGAGCAACATGTTCGTCCTCGATCTATGCGAGCCGGTTGACCTCAAACCATGGAAACCCCAATCGTGGGAGACTTTGAATTCATATCTTCAGACATGGTGTCCTTCGCATTGGACTCTCGTTGTTTTCGTGCCGCAGCAGCAAAACCTCTCGTTTCTTGCAAGCATGCATCATCCTTCTTTCGTAAAGCTACTGGAGGGGAAGTGGGTGAGGAGGAAACAGCAAAAGACAAGCTTTCCCGTGGGGAATAATTTGTACACGGAAGACGACTGCATGTACATCCTCTTCAAGGGTGACAATCTGCGCGTCAACACGTCCGTGATCTATGAGGGAAGGCAGCTTAAGGGTGTCGTTGCTGCAGTGCGGTTGCCTTAGAGGGTTACCTTGACGGATGTGTCGGAGATTCCTTTCACGCCTTGCGACTGGTCGCAGACCGCGCTGGAACGATAGGGCAGTGTCTACGGGGACATAGAACGCAATCCGACACAATTCGTCGGTCTTCTTGATTCCTTAGCAAGAAGGGAGAGGGTGTCGTTTTCCTTGGGAAACCGCACGCGCGAAGCGTGTGGGAACTTCTGAAGGCAGGCCGACACGTTGTCGTGATGGAAGGGAACTCCGACCTCTTGCAATTCACCATGCAACTCGTCAAAAGCGAGGTCAATTCAGGGGCGCACAATTGCGAGTTCATGGTCGTGAAGGCGCCCCCCAATCGGGTGTGGAGCAACAAGACGGACATGTGGTTCAAGTTGAGCGAGAGGAAGAGGAACAAGATATACGACTTTTTGTTCCTTCAAACGCGGCCGAGGAAGGACACTGACGCCGAGTACGTCAGCCGCAAGGACCACATGTTGGCATTGCTCGACAACCACCACTTCGCCTCGCGCATGAACGCGAAGACCTTTCTCGAAAGGCTGCAATCCCTGTACTTCGTGGAGTTCGAGAAGGAGTTGAAGTTAGGCAATTACGCTTCCTTGATCTCCACTGATGATGAGGCAGCCACCGATGTGGAGTTTGACGCCAACGCGAAGGAGGAGGAGAGCGACACCGAGAGCCTTGACCTGCAGTACGACCCACCTCCGACGGAGCACGCCTGAGGGTCCTCGTCGGCCGGTCCGTCGTCAAGCGCGGCACCCCTCGTGTCACCGACGGCCAGACCAGCGCCGGGCACTACGCCGATGAAGTTGCTGGAGAGACTCAAAGCTCTCGCCGTTCCCCCACGTGCATTGCATCCCGGGTCGGACGTTCCGCCCGATCATCCGTCTTGGAAGGATATCAACATCCACTTCCTGCTCGAGCCACAACGTCATTCGCCTGAGGCGGACTGGGGCCACGACATGATTTGGCATCCAGGAGTCATCCAGCCACCAATACAAAACGGCGAGTGGGTCAAGGCCATCGCAGTCCCGGACGCGGGATGACTGTCATTCTCGCGAGAGTCGAAGTCCAACTTCCTGAAGCTCGCGAGGATTTCGGTCCTTCAAAAAGTTAGGGACGAAAATTACACGTTTGCATCCAACGACCTGTCCGTCGTTTCCACAGTCGGGCGACTTTTCGACGGGCTTCAGGACAAGTGCTGGATTGAATTGACAGGGGACTACTACGAGCTCGACACGAGCCCGTCGAAGGGCGTGGTGGACTGGAAAGTGCCCCCTCCTAGTGGGCCGCACGGTAGTCCCGGCGGGGGGGCACCTGGAGGTGGAGGGGACGGGGGTGGTGGTGCGGGGGGCGGCAAAGGAGTCTCGCCTAGTGGGGAGGGAGGGTCTCAAGGCGGCAGCATGACACCGGGAGGCAGCGGTGGGGTGGTGGGTTTTCCCGTCGATCGGCATCCGTCTGCTAGCCCCTGGCAGGAGCATACGACACAGTCCGCCGACAACCCGACTTCGTCTGTTGGCTCTGCGAGGGAGACGTTGGCAGCCTTGGTTGCTATCGGCAGCTGCTCCGGCGGAACTTGAAGTCCGTCGGGATCCGAACTACGTCGGTTGAGGAGCCGCCAGAGCGGTCCGCCATGCAAAGTCACTCAGGGTTGGGAACGCTAAGCCAGGATCCGCCTGAGCGGGAGCAACGGCCGCCGGGATTGCAGCGAGAGGCTACAAGTGCAGGGACCGCCGACACGGGGACGACGAAGTCCGCCGAGATCCGAACTTCTTCAGACGGGGGGTGTCGGCCAGGGATTGTCGAGTCGCCGAGAGAGGCAGCGTGCATGGACACAGAAGGGCGGGCCTCGGGATTAAACACGGGTACCGGGGACGGGGCTCAATTGCAAGGAAGGGAAGTAGGGGAGGAAATGGAGGGAGGAAAGGAATCGGAAGAAGCGGAGGAGAAAGGGGAAGAAGGGGAGGAAGGGGAGGAAAGGGGAGAAAGGGAGCTCATTGAATTGCTTGAAGGAAGAGAGGGTGCCAGAGGGGACGTGAGTATTGGAGACGACGAAGAGGACGATAGTGAGGACGATGGCGGATCTGGAGAGTCATCTAACGGGTTCGGACAACTGTACGGAGAGCATCACGAGGATGATGTCAACAATGATGCCACGGCAACGGAGATGGAGACACAGGTGGTTAGCAGCCTTTCTGTAGGGCCTGATTACTATGAGGTCCAACCACTGGCATCTGCCGTCGATTTGCAACACCGGTTCGAGGAGGCCCCTGTTGCTATGAGCCCGTCTAAAGCAAGTCGTCGTATAAGCATCGACGAAGTTATCGACGGTATCCTCCGCGACCAGCACGTGTCCGCGCATCCGTCCTCAACGCATGACGGAGACGACGCCGACAACATCACATCTTCCGTGGCAGCTGCCCTCGCTTCCTCGCCGCTGAAATCTCAGGGTCACCCTCGCCAGCGGAGGGGAAGGCGAGGTCAAAGGACGACAACATGTCACGTCACCGAAAAAATCTAGGGTCGCAGGAGCTCTCGACGTGCTCGCTTTGCCCGCGCCAAATTCGTCGACGAAGCAGCGGAGTGACAAACCGACTGGTAAGCCGTGAAAAACGCCGCACTACGTGCGCGCCCTGGATTGTGAAAACGTGAGAGACGGTTCCTTTGTAGCCCGGGTGTCGGCGGACTACAGTCTGCACCATGCACCCGACGACTGTCCACACTGTCTGTCGATAAGGGAAGTTTCAGATGCCGATATACTACAACCTCCAGTTCTTCCAACTACGTCTCATCGGCTTTTCTTTGAGTCAACCGCGTTGCTGGTCGCGGGCAGCGAAAACTTCATCGAAAACATAACACTCCATCTAAGGAAGGATCTATCCTTCTGTGCAATGTGTTTTTATTAACGCATTCCCTCGCAAAAGTTTCCCTGGCTAAGAAACTAGCCAAGTAAATGCACTGGCGGTTTTTCCTTCCCGGAAATAATGTCGGTTTTAGTCCGTCGGGATCCGAACTTCCTATGTCGATGCGTGATGTGGTCAGTCTCTATGGGCCTGGTGTGTTGAAAAGTCCGCCGCAATCCGAACTTCGAGGAGTGTTCGCCTTCGGCTTCTGTGAGTTATGGTGGATTTCTTTTGTGAAGGGCAGGGGTGTTAAGCTCGAATGCGGCAGTCGTTTTGTTTTCCAGCAGCACACACGCACCTCGGTGTTCATGGCCACACAAAATCAGGGCCCTATGATCGGAGAGGTTTTGCCTGGCTGTTGCGTCTCTATTATTGTATGGTTCTCACATTGTCACTTCCGTCGGATTCATGTTGGGAAACGTGTATTCATTTTTCGTTTTGTCTTTCTTCTGTTGTACAGTGGTGGGGTCATCTCGAACACGGAGGTCCTTGAAATATTCAGAACACATATTGCAGAAAGTCCCCGGGTCGACGACAAAACACAAGGAAATGTTAAAGGCATCGGGGGTTGATGTTGAGATCGGGAAGAAGGAGCACGCCGTTGCCATTGAGGAATGTCTTTCCCTTCTGGCCCCAGAAAAGGGACATATCCACGATCTGTGAGTAGGGGTCAGGCCATGTATGAGAAATACTTAGCAACGCGTCATGCAACAAGGGACAATGCCTAGAACTTCTTTTCTCACTACCCCACGTGTCCTTTGCTCGATGTTGGGCAGTGCGGGCCACAACGCGTGGAACACGAGGGAAAAGATTTGCTGCAGCGACTGCGCCTCAAAGCTTGCGGGTTTCGGAAGGCATTAAACGAGGCTCGGTGCCACCGCTCACTGTTTTCTCTGTCTTGCCAGATGGTCAATTTCGCGTTGCAGCAAAAGATCTCCTCACCCTCTTGCGTGTCGACGGCTGGGTGAATGATGAGGTAATCAATTTCTATATGGCACTGTTGAGGTCGACCGCATGTGGGTCACATGACATCTCGTTTGGCCTTCAAGTCTTCAGCTTTAGTTCGTTCTTCTTCAGTAAACTGCAACTTCAAGGACACGGTGGGGTGCAGAGGTGGGCTAAAAACGTAGATTTGCGTCAATACGATATTATCTTCGTTCCTGTCCACAAAGATAAGGATCACATGATCCTCCTTTCCGTCAACTTGAGAGATGATGTTCTTGAAATTTTTGATTTTTTTCCTCGCGTTGTAGCTGATTCGAGTTTTTACACTAGTGTTTTCGAGTTGATTCTAGAGTACTTAGAACGTCAAACATCAAATAGGCGGTCGGGTAGGAATTGAAAGTCGATAGCGGGGAATGTTGTGGTGGATGGAGTTTTGAGACAAGTGGATGGAACTAGTTGCGGGGTGTTCATGTTGATGTTAGCGACGTTGTTGCAACGTGGTGATCGACCGCCTTTCATGTTCTCTTCTAAAGATATTCCGCTTATTAGACGACAACTGGCATCATGTATCATAGAACATCGTTGTCTTTGATGAATTTGATTGACTTGGAAACTTTTTTTGGAGGTATTTCATTTGTTGTTCATTATATTTTGTAAATCATGACATTATTCAAGTGTCGTTTTGACAACGACATTGCTTTTTTTTAATCGTTGCGAGCTTGCGTTGTCTTCGGCAGGCTCATTGTGTGTCCGGCGTCATGTATGGACTTTGTAATTTCTATCACGTCCCAATCGTCTCTCATGCAGCGGAACATGTCATACATTACGTTCCATGTTTCAAATTTTCATCAACTGGAAGTATACATATGATTGACAAATTGGTCGGTGGATGCATGACAAATCTCATCTACTGTGTGGCAAATCTCTGCGAGTGGATGCATTAACAAATGTAAGGACCAGTGGCGTCATGTCTCTTGCGTATGCATAGGACCACATGCCTTGTGACCACGTGCATTGCATGTAACCAATAACCTTGCGTCCGTGCACAAACCTTCTTTGCATAGTCATTTAAAGTGCGGAGTTCGTTCGTGAATAAGCAAAATTTGAAGTTCTAGATAAGTGGTCGTTACAATACACCTTGTTGATCACAACTGTGAACAAGTATGGATCTCAGTACCCTCATGTCGGGCGAAATGATGAGTATGCCTATATGAGGAAGTCCGGATCTCTTCAACATCTAAGCAACCGTCTCGGGCGAGACGATCGGTATGCTTGCGCAACTTCGGGATAACCTTGTAAAGAAAACAACGATTCAATCATGACACCTTGCTCATCACATTTTCTGAACTTTAAGTTTAACAAGTATGGATCTCACCACACTTCCACACACTGTGAGGGTTCCCAGACGGGCGTGGCTATCATTACACTAAGTCTTCTAAACAAGTCTGAATCTTATCAAAAATCCAAACGACCGTCTCAGGCGAGACGATGGACCTACCTGTATAACTTTGGGATAGCCGAAAGAATTATACTGTCCAGTTCAATTTGAGAGCATTGCTCATTTTGTTTATAAAGTTCAACAAATATGGATTTGAGCACACTTCCGCATTTAGGGCGAGTAGATGGCTGCGCCTACGTGGAAACGCTGCAGCCAAATATGAATTCGTTATAAAGAGGACACAATATAATATCTTTTATTACATTTTTAAACTTGATGTTTAACAAGTAAGGATCCCAGCACACTTCCGCACAGGGTTCCCTGATGGGCGTACCTATCGTTATTCGTTTATGAAGTTCAACAAGTATGGATCCCGACACACTTTCGCACAGGATTCCCAACACGTTTTTGAAGTTCAACAAGTAAGGATCCCAACACACTTCCGCACGAGTTCCAGGGCGACGTGCCTAACATGTATGGGTCTCAACACACTTTCGCATTTGGGATATCATTTATAAAGTTTCACAAGTACACATCTCAACACACTTCTGCATGTGGTTAAGCCCTGGATGGGCGTGCCTATGTTGCTTAGGCTGCAGCCAAAAATGAATTCGTTAGAAAGAGGACACAATATAATGTCCTATTTTAAGGAATAACATGTTGTTCTCTTTGCTCTTTCTTGCTTTCTTGAATCAGACTTACTAACGTTTTAGTTAAATCTAATATGGCCATCGATTCACTCGTTCGTCCTGACGTCTTGACGGGTACGGGAGGGGCTGCTATTACCGGGATAGGCATGTTTTGGATAGGCACACTTGGAATCATACTTGGAACACGTCGCATTGGCGTAATCTGTTCTAAGTAGGTAACCGAGCCAGTCACAAATCCCATGTTTTCAAACTTGTTTTGAAGTGCCGCCAGCTCAGCCTTAGCTCTTGCCAGCTCGGACGAGTCCCCTTCCCTAGGATAGTCTTCTCCCTCCAAGAAGCTCGCCGCAAACTTTTTTTCCATCTCTTCAGCGGCGGTCATGATCTGTTGCAGCGTGTGAGTGATGAGCAAGAACTGTTTTCGCAGTTTCGCCCTCATCGTTCAACTGCGAAGTCCATCTATGAACAAATCCCTATCTACCTTTTCGCCACGTTCGGTCTTTACAAACATTCGGTAGAATCGATTACGATATTCAGTCACAGATTCGAGTGGTTTTTGTACGCGATCCTTGATCATAAACATGGCTTGTTCCTGGTGAATGTAATCAAATCGATTCAAGAAGTCCCATTCGAACATGGGGAGATCAACCCATACATGGGTGTTAAACCAGTGATGAGCATCTCCTCCCAGTCGAGCAGGAATGTTGATCTGGGCTTCTTGGTCATCATACTGTTGCGCTCGGAGCGTGGCTAGCCATGCCTTAACAAGATGATGAGAGGGATCAAAAAGATAGAGATCGGGTGGGGCCACAGATGCCCGTACTCGTGGTGCTGGTTGATTGGGATTCACCGGCACATTCACCTACACGTTCACAGGAGCGTTCTGCGGGTGGGCATTCATGTTTGCTGCTCTTTGAGCCGCAGACTGGCTTCGTGTGATGACGAGGTCGCGTCGACACGGGTTCCGTGATCCCGGCCGGCCTCTGTTAGCCAGATCGCTCCTATCTAACTTGCCGTCCTACGAGTCCTATAACCCTGCCACGTGTCGGCTCCGATACCAACCTCACACCCAGCGCGACTTCCTGATCGCGGTAAGATGTGGGCCTGGAAGTGCAAAAAGAGGTGTGCCAAGGATTTTTGGAAAGTGGGGGTGGAGTTCCAAATCAGAACTGAAATCTCCCGTGACAAGGTTCAGGGGCATACACGCAATATGGGTCGGGGACAAATTTGTTCGGGTTCTAGGGTGGGAGATGTTGTCCAGCATAAGGCTGATGGCATGCGCGGTGTGTCTGGAGCCGTCCGATCTGCTCTTTTCGTTGTGACGGCTCAGGGTCCTTGGGTAGGGCATGTCCGTAGTCACTGCAAACTGGGTCTTTCAGTCTGGACACGTGTCGGATGTTGTCGCACGGTACGGTTCCAGCGACCGCCACGTCGCCTGGAATTTCAGCGCAGCGTGTTTGGCCAGTACGGGGCAATCGAATCCCACGGAACCACTTGAAGCTGATGATATGGGAGGAGGAGTCGGTAGGGAGGGAACTTAGTGGAAATGACGACGAAGCCGGGGGATGTAAGTAGTGCGAGTGTCATTCTTCCGGTTAATCCGGTCCCCG